CCCCGATGGATTTGTCGCCCCTCTCTTTATCCTTGGAGGACAAGGAAACTATCCTATAAATATATAGGAGGAGAGAGAAAGTTAGGCCAACACAAGGGTTTTTCGAGAGAAAGAGTTTCGGCCGACCTTAAAATTATAGAGGGCACATGACCAAGAGGAAAAATCAAGGAGAAAATAGTTTTCTCCTAAACCCTAGCAATCTATATTCTTTCCTTCTCTTTTAAGTTTGTCGCAAAATTGCACGGGATTGATTTCTATAAAAAATACTAGATCAAAAAAGTGGAGCTAGCACCCCATTGATTTTGAGTGCCTCTTTGTGGATACTTGGACTCGTGTGGATCATCAATAGAGGTCGGACACTTGGACGACTTTTTAGAAAAAAGAATTTAGATATGCGCTACAAGAAATAATTTTTTATTTATAGCTTTATGTTTATATGTGTATAATTAGTAGATTTAACGGCATAATTTTAGGCCCTTAGATGGAGAAATTTTTTTATTTATTTTACATCTCCATAGGATGCATGATCCTTCATCTACGTATTGATAGGCTAGGAATCATGTAAGAATTTTATTAGTAGAACAAGAGTTTTTGTATTTATATTTAACAAAGTCTTTGATTGAATTTTTTTTTTCATTAACTAGAGACCTTCTTATATACACAACACACACCATTTTTCAATAGAAGTGTATATTCATTGCAACTCTCGACTATCAAACACAACTCTATTACATTACAACTCTTGACAAACAAATACAAATTTCGTGAATAGATATAAGCTACGAATAGACACGACACTTGTCCTATAAAAAAATTATCCGTAAAAATTCATAATAATATTTAAATAAGACTAAATTTTTCTTCACACGTCATGGTATTTCAAATTTTGATGCGGTGTATTTGATATAAAATGCTTTAATGGCATTTTGACATTTGAATTTATGAGATTGTGGTATGTTAAGGCTTTGCTATTAATTTAGTCAAATTTATTATATATTTGGTAATATTGTCCTCCATTTGATTTGATTGTTATTGTTTACTAAAATCTTTTTGGTATTTTTAGTTTAAATTTTTTTTTACATATTCTAATAAAAACTCAATATACTTTAAAAAAATTTGAGTTTAGAAAGTAGTTTTTAAAATTTCTCTAACATTACATATTTACAAAAATTTTAAAAATAGAAAATAATCTGGAATGCTTCAATTTTTTTTTAGAGTTTGAAAAAATCATATATATTTACTTACTTAATCTTAGTATGATTCTTGAAATATTTGTATTGCCAAATGTGTAATATCTTATCAAAGTTTAAAATAAGTTAATATTTTAAAAATGTGTATTGTCATATGATTTCTTTAGAGTTTCCTAAATATTTTTAAATAATTCAACCTTATTGTTTTTTTTTTTTTTGAATTTCTACTGTTCCAAAATTAAAAGCAATAATCTCTAGCTTTTTTCGGTCACTAAGAATAAAATTTATAACAATGGGAGTAGAAGTGACTCACAATCTTGCTATTATCGAGCTTTCAGTTTTTATTTATTTATTTAAAAATAGTATTTGATAAAGATACGTTTTTTATTCAAAGCAAAGCATACATCTTTTTATTACAAGACAGCTTCATTTTTAAAACAAAACAGAGTACGTTTCACTTTTAACCAAATATATAAACATACTTTCAAGTTAAAACTAGTTGTATGTTCCATACATTTTGTAGTCGGTTATTTTGTTTTGGGATTTTTTTTTAATTGTGGAATTTTTTTCTTTTAGGTAACGTAGAACAATTTACTAGTTATGAGTTGATTTCATTAGCTGTTAAATGAAAATACCAAAAATGATAATTTTCTTAACGGTCGAATGAAAGTTAAATGGACAATTCAAATTTGAAAATTGGATTTCAAGTACATGTATATATAATTTCAAGAAAAAATGATTTTAATGTAATTAAAAGAAATCTTGAAGTCCAACTATCCAGATTATCGTACAAAAATACATAAAAACAACTGTTGTGTACAGACAAACCTATTAATTGGGAAAAAAATAAAAATCTGATCTGTCTGTTTTGACGTTACCTAAATAACCTTACATTTTTACTACATTGCAAAGGATGTATTTACGAAATTTAAACAAAAGAGAACAGACATCCACATGCACCTTGTATAAAAATTTCAGATTGAACGGCTCCTTGCATGCTAATGAGGCTGCGTTTTTTATATGGTGTTAAAAAAAAATTACAAAGAAAATATTAAATAGATAATATTTAAAAATAATGTAGTAGAGTACGGTTTGGTAACAAAAAATAGAATGATGAGATATATATAATATTTAAAAATAATGTAGTAAAATGTTGTTTGGTAACAAGAGATAAAATGGTAGGAGTAAGATTGAAAATTTTATTTCTATCTTATAGGTGTTTGGTTGAAAGAAATAAAATAGAAATGAGAATGATGAGCGAAAATAAAAATAAAAATATAACATAATTTCATTTTTTTTTATGAGGGAGATAAGAATAAAAATAAAAAATAATTTTTTTTTAAATAGCAATATATCATTTTTATTTATCGTGTATCAATTACTTCTACTACTATCAATACCTCTACCACCATTTCCATTGCTCGTCATTTGCGAAACTGAAATAGAAAAGAAAATGATGAGTAAGAATAAAAATAAAAATATAACATAATTTCATTTTTTTATGGGAGGAGATGGAATAAAAATAAAAAATAAAAATATTTTTTTAAAATAGTAATATATTATTTTTATCTATCGTGTATTAACTACTTTTATTAATATCAATACCTCCACCACCACCACCACCACCACCATTGTTGTCATTTGAGATAACGATTAAAAAAATTATTATTATTATTATTATTATTTTATTATCACTCCTCCACTCGTCATAATCTTTTTTTTATTATAAAACTAATGTCCAGGTCACCACCACCCCCATTGGCAGAGACCATAAAAAAAATTCAAAAAATATATATCATTATTCTACCATCACTCTTCTTTTAACATCACCATCTTTTTTTTTTTTTTTTTTTAGAACTATAGTCATTGTCACCACCACCACCACCCCCATTCACAATAATGATAAAAAAATTTTTTTAAAAAATTATTATTATTATTATTCGGTACTACTTTTTTTTTTTTTATCAATACTATTACTTTTATCATACAACTACCACCACTCTTCTTCCGTTGACACTTCTATAATGACGATATTAATTTTTTTAAAATATATTATTACTATTACTCGTGATATTATTATTTTTTTCATTACCACCATCACCAATACAGTAACATCTATCATTTTTATTATTATTATAGTTAATATTTTATTAATTTATTATTTTTATTCATCTTAAAAAATATATATTAAATATATTAAATTTTATTTAGGTTTCTTATTAATATTCTAAATACAACATGAGAATACAAATATCATTCTAATTATGTAATTTGCATTTCGGATAGCCAAACTATGCCTAAGATTATAAAAAGTGATTGGTTGGATTTTGTTTTTTAAAAAATAATTATAGGTTTCAATACGAATAAAATCAAAATTTAAATTAAGTGAAATTATATATGTATAAAAAAATAATATAAACACGTGATCCTAAATATGAGGAGGAAGCAAAAGAAAATATATAGGCAAATTCAAAAAAAAAAAAAAAAAAAAAAAAGGAAGGAAAGGGACAAAGTTCAAAATGTTTCCCTCTAAAAATCCTTTTATTCCTCCCTCCCCAAAGTTACACATAAATCCTTTCGGGTTCATGAACGTTAACGCTCAAACCCCTAAAATTTGACCCTAAAGGGATTTACGTGCTAATCTTCTTGAAATTTCTTTCTCACTCTAAATTTGTTTTAAACATAAGTAAAGGAGGTGGAATTATACATGGATAATTTTTCACTCTTTTTATGTTGATATCAATTATAAATTAAAAATTAGATTTTTCAGACTATCTATTCAATAATAAAATATACATAAAATCAGGAGATTTAAAAAAAAATTATGAAAAAATAACAAAAAATCAATTTTAACGTGATTAAAAAAATAATGAGAAGCTCAACCAATTTAGTTTATGATATAAATAGAAATAAATTTAATATAAAATAATAATAATAATAATCTTATATAATTTTCTTATAAAATCACATGTGAAATAAAAATTTTTTGATTGTGCTGTGACTCAATAAATAGATAAAGATGTAAATCCCATTGATTGAGGAACGAAATTCAAGAATTTATGGTGTATTTATTAATTGAAATATAAGATTCAAATGACATATGGTATTTATGATAATGAGTTGTAAAATTAAATTGTTTTATTTGATTCTTTTAAGGCAAAATCCTATTATTAATATCCAATTATTTTTTCCTATTACCAAATTGAAATCTTTTTTTTTTTTCTAGAATCAAAGACGTTCTTATATAATTACTTTATCAAATTTACTTATTTAGAAAATATCAACTATTACATAAAATTTCATATATTAAATAAATGGATTTTTAATAATTTATAAATTCAATGATTGGTTTAAATTTAATTTTTATCTAATAGTTACCTTAAATAGCATATGTAATTAGTTTTTTTCAGGCAATAAAATGTCAAAAAAAGAACAAAAAAGGTGACGAGAAAAACATAAAAAGAGCAAAAGTACCAAACTATATAGCGGCTGAAGAAAGAAGAAAGAAGTGGGGATAGAAAGGGTTGGGTCCACTAACAAAGTGGCGTTGTAGCTGGCAAACCGGACTGACAGACTGGTTTTTCTTTCTTCCCTAGTCTGTACACAAGCCGAAAACCCTTCCTTTCTATTTTCTCTCCCTCCTTTTAAGCTCTCTCATTCTTTCCATTTCTCTCTATTCAATTCCCCTTCCCTCTGAAAAAAACACAAGCCTTCTCCTTTCTTTCTCTGTTTTTTTTTGGTAAAGACACAAACTTTGTTTTTTGTTTTTTTATTTTTTCTTACGAACCAAAATAATTATAACTTTTGGCCATGGCTGAGGAAACCCAGAAGGCAGCAGCGCCAGAGGCACAACCATCAACTACAACGGAGGAAGTTGTGGTGGTGGAGGAGAAGCCAGCTGTGATTGAGAAAGAAACACCAGCACCTGTTCCTGAACCAGAGCCTGAGGCACCAGAAAAGCCAGCGGTGGTTGAAGAGGATGTTGTCATTGAAGGTGTTGTTGAAGAGGAGAAATCAAAGGAGGAAACAACAAAGGAGGTGAAAATAGCACAGTCCGTTTCTTTTAAGGAAGAGACGAATGTTGTTGGTGAACTCCCCGATGCTCAAAAAAAGGCTCTTGATGATTTCAAACAGCTCGTTCAAGAGGCTCTTAATAAGCACGAGTTCACAACCCCACCAGCAGCAGCAGCGGCCAAGGAAGAGGAGAAGCCCGCTGAGCCTGAGAAGGCTGTAGAGAAGGAGGAGGTCAAGGAGCAGGAGAAAACGGAGGCTCCTTCTACTAGCGAAGAGCCCAAAACTGAAGAAGAGCCTAAAACTGCTGAGGCTGTGGCGGAGGCTCCTTCTACTAGCGAAGAGCCCAAAACTGAAGAAGAGCCTAAAACTGCTGAGGCTGTGGCGGAGGCTTCCACTCCACCTCCACCCCCGCCCGTGGTGGAGGAGAAGGTTGAAGCGAAAGAGGAAAAGGTGGAAGAGAAGGTAGAAGTGAAAGAAGAAGAAAAGAAGGCAGAGGTGGTGGAGAAGGTGGCTGCTGTGGACGAGGATGGAGCCAAGAGAGTTGAGGCAATTGAGGAGACAATAGTAGCTGTCTCCTCTGCCCCTACACCAGAAGCGGCTGCCCCGGCTGCCGAACTCGAGGCAGCTCCTGCAAAGGAGGAGCCTAAAAAAGAAGAGGAAGCCGCCCCAGAAGCTCCTCCACCACCCCCGGAGGAAGTTTTCATCTGGGGAATTCCCCTTCTTGGCGATGAGAGGAGTGATGTGATCCTCCTGAAGTTCTTGAGAGCTAGAGATTTTAAAGTGAAGGATGCATTTACTATGATCAAGAACACTGTCAAGTGGAGAAAGGAATTTGGAATTGATGCTCTTCTTGAAGAAGACTTTGGAACTGAATTGGAAAAGGCGGTCTTTACCCATGGAGCTGATAAGGAAGGTCACCCTGTGTGCTACAATGTTTTTGGTGCTTTCCAGGATAAGCAGCTGTATCAGAATTGTTTCGCTGATGAAGAGAAGAGGGCGAAATTCCTGAAATGGAGGATTCAGTTCCTGGAGAAGAGTATCAGGAATTTAGATTTTAGTCCTAGTGGTATTAGCACCATTGTTCAGGTCAGTGATCTCAAGAATTCCCCTGGACCTGCCAAGACTGGGCTTAGGCAAGCCACAAACCAGGCGCTACATTTGCTACAAGATAACTATCCTGAATTTGTGGCAAAAAATGTACGTGCTCGATAATCATCTATTCATTCTTTTTGAATTAGATTACATGCCTTTTTTTTTTTTTTTTGGCAAAAAGGAATCTTAATTTAATGTGGGTTTTGGTATTTGAAGGTGTTCATCAATGTTCCATGGTGGTACCTAACATTCAATAGGATGATCAGTCCCTTCCTGACACAAAGGACAAAGAGCAAGTTCGTATTTGCTGGCCAATCCAAGTCTGCTGAAGCCCTTTTCAAGTAAGTGTAATTCCTTAATCTGGTTTCCCTTTATTGCTGCCTCATGATCTTTGATCATTATTTGCTTTTATGGGAATCTGTCTATTGCTTGATCATTAATAGTTCTGACTAGTCCCTTGACATCTCTACCTCTTTATTGCTTTATGGTTAAAAGTTTTCTTAAATTCCTCTCTTATCTCCACCCTTCTTGCCATTGATATAATCTCTGATGTGTTTGTTTGTGTACTTTTTTTTTTAAAAAAAAAATGATAAACAGATACATAGCTCCTGAACAAGTGCCAGTTCAGTATGGTGGACTGAGCAGGGATGGTGAATTCACAGTTGCTGACTCCGTCACAGATGTTACTATTAAGCCAACATCAAAGCACACTGTTGAATTCCCAGTTTCTGAGGTATATAATGATTCTTAAATTAAAAGTAAATAAAGCCTTTACTTTTGGGTAAAGCATTGGTGGCATCTAATTGATTGTAAACTATGTACTCTTGATATTTTCAGGCATCTGTTCTTGTTTGGGAGCTTCGAGTTTTGGGTTGGGATGTGAGCTACGGAGCTGAATTTGTGCCTAGCGCTGAGGATGGTTACACTGTTATCGTATCAAAGACTAGGAAGGTTACCTCAGCTGATGAGCCTGTGATCTCAGACGCATTCAAAATTGGTGAACCCGGCAAGGTCGTGCTTACCATTGATAACCAAACCTCTAAGAAGAAGAAGCTCCTCTATAGGTCAAAAACCAAACCCATTTCTGAATGAGCTTCAAGGATCAATGCCATTTTGGGGTTTTCAACTTCCAATCATTTAGAAGACATGGATGGCATGACAAGGGGTCCTTGGTCTTGATGCACGAACATGAGGGGTGTTCTTCTGTTTTTTGTTTAAATTTATTTTATTATTATTATTATTTTTTTGTTTTATAAAGTCTGGGGGATTTATTTATATATTTCATTTATATTAGTAGGTTTTCGGGGGTGGGTTTCGTTGTTTGGTATTGAATTGGATATAATTTACTGGTAAAGAAAGTTTGGGATATCATGGATTGACAGACACATTTGAAGTTTTAAGTATGGAGAAAATGAAAATGTGTTCGCCAAAGTGGAAAGAATATCTGTTTTCATTCTTTGTACTCTTACCTGTAAAATTTGTGTAAATGTGATGGTGTATAACTTATTTCTTCTTATTGCATGTCTTTGATCAATTCTTGGCGGAATTTCATGTGGTTCCATTTTGCTTCTTTCCTAACAGGTTCAAACATGAATTTTTGGTTTTAAATTTTCCCTTTACATTGTCTTTTTATTCATCACTCCATATTTAGTGATCTGGGGCATTGAAGGACAAGCCCTAGGAGAGGAGATGGTGAGGTTCAAATATAAGTTAGTGTAAAAAGGATATTTCTTGCCATTAGAGAACGAATTGGTCGATTCCAAGGATATACAATTGGAGAGTCCAACTGGAAGATTAGGTTAGTTAAACAAGTACGCATATAATCAAGTTACTTGTAGAAAACGTTTACAGTACAGCAATGAAAGTGAAGCAAAACAGCTGTTTATAGTTTGTGTTTTGTCAAAGAAAGCTCTTTTGAAAGTGATTTTATGCTTTGGAACTGTCTGAATTTGTATCTTTGTGTTTCTGTCTCACCCATTAACATAAAACAGTACAAACTAGGATGTAATAAAAAAATGTTGATCTCAAAGACAAAACGAAACACTTCAATCCCTTCTGTTTTGTTTTTTGTTTTTTTGGGTAAGAATGTCTCGTTCACATGGATGAAAAACCCTTTTTTCTGGTAACAATTTAGACTTTGGTGGCTTAAAGCTGTGACGGAAGAGTTTTTTCAAAATCTTCAGTCTAGTTCAATTGTGTTAGTGAAGACATGGACATAATGCAAGCAATAGGAGATGGGAGTTACAATCTTTTTCGACTTCTGAAAGGGAAAATTCGTAGAATCTGCTTTATGCATTGCTTGGCCAAGCAAAACATGCTTAACTTATGAATGTTATCATAATCCACACTTGCATTAGCCAAAGGTGAATTGTTTTCTATGCCCTTTAATTATTATATAAATTTAGAGCGTGTTTGAATCATCCCTTTGCTTTGAAATGCACAGGAAGCGGCAGTAAATCTGTCAAGCACTTTCGAAAAAGTGCAAAAAAGCAAAGAACCTGACTAACATTCTGCTATGTTTCTTTTTGGGCATTGCAATCTTTACGGTTTGTGCCTTTATTTATGTTGATTCCTTCATAGGATAGGGATCCAACTTTGGGGTCTAATCATTTTCTCCACCACCTTTCATTAGAACATGTGATTTGATTATTTCGCCCCAACTCATATCAATGAACAGTGTCAAAGCAGGTTTTTTGTTTGAACATGACCCTATTAAAAAAAAAAAATAAGTACAAAATCCTAGATTGATGGATACATTTATGATTTTTTTTTTATATAATTTGATCTCAAAATAAGAAAATGGAGGGAAAAATTAAATAATATCTAAGGAATCGTTTGTTATGGTCTTCATCTTTTGCTTTTTGGTTTTAAACCCAAATTAAAAATAGAAAAAAATTTATTTACGTTCTAAAACGTAAAAAATCAACAATTAGTTGTCAAAATTTTTTCAAAAAAAATATAATAATAATAAAATGGTTTTCAAAAATTATATTAGTGCTTGTTGGTTTTGCTTTTTTTTTTCCCTCAACAAAAAAAAATTCAAAACAAGCAATTTTTCAATTTTAATTTAAAAAAAAATGAAAAGGGAAACCAGAAACTAGAAACAACACCTAACAACTCCAAACTAACATCCTAGTTTTGTTGAATAAATTATAAATTAGTCCCTTTAGTTTTAAGAAAATATTTATTAATCCCACATGTTTTAAAAATTATTATTTAACTTTTTCATGATTAATTTAATATTATTTTTATTCTTAAAAATCTCTTATTTTCTCATAAATCTTTATATATATATATTTTTTTTCATATTTTCATATTTTTATTTCTTTAAACAAAAAAATTTTAAAAAAATATAAATGATTAAATTATAAATAGATTTCTATATATGAGAACTAAATGATTAATTTTTGAAAAAAAAATTAATTCGTTTCTTGAAAAAAAAAAGGGACTAGTTTATAATTTACTCTAGTTTTGTTTAGCAATTAGTTCAAAGGCCTACTCTGGCTACAAGCTTTGGTGGCCCCATCAATAATGTTGTCACTAATCAATAATTAGCAGATTCTTGGATTAACGTTGACATCCAATGCTTATTGTTTTTGTGGTGCAATCTGATCTACCTCTCCCTCTCTCTACAAAAAACTAAACGTACAACTTCCCTGTAAATTCCTAGTTTTTATCTTTCCTTGCCTGTCTCCATCCTCACATCATTTTCAAATGCACGAACATAATCTTTACATCATGGTTGTGTTTATCTTGTTAATAGAGATTAATAATAATAATAATAATAATCTAGATGATTATTTAGTTGAATTTATGTTTGAGGATGACTTTTCTCTTTATTTATTCAATTTCAAACAATTTGACAATTTGGTTCAAAAAGAAATTGCCCATTCAATAATGAAATTTTGTAATGCAGATATATGGACCATATGTTTGTGTAAAATTGTGGCTAACTGATATATATATATATCCACATGGTGATTAAAAAAGCATGTCGAGTTTAACAAATTCAATTTTCATGATAAAAAATAAAAATAAAAAATCATTGACTTGAATGAGCCTTGTAAAATTGCTGTAAATGAGCCGTGAATCAAGACAATAGGAGCTCTAAATTAGGATCTTACAATCACCATTTTGAATGGTTAGTATCTTTTTTTAATGTTATCTCAAGTAAGATATCATTTTCAATAGGTTTGGATAAAGGGGCAGACGATAGAGTTTTGAAGATGCAATTGGATAACGATGGTTAGATATTTGAAGGGAGAATAGATGTGAACATTTTTTTATTTTAGGGATCATAGGAAAGTACAAGACATAGAAATTGAAAAAAATAATAAAATAAAATAAATAAATAATGAAATGAAGAGTACAAAGGTGCAAACTTGAGGCTACGAAAGTGGCTACATAAGCAATATGTATGACTAAGTCTAGGTCAGATGATAAGTTGGGTCTTCACAATTTTCGATCCAAGTAGGATCAGTCCTATGATGTTATCTTCCATTAGGTAGAGAGGAGCCTTGTTTATTTCACTATAATATATAATGAGGTTTTATTTTTGCAGGTATTGTGATTGTTAGTTTTCAGAATTTTTTTTTTTTTTTTTGTAATTTTTCAGGGATTTAAGTTTTTTGTCCTCTTAATATATTGGTTTAGCCTGATTTGCCTTCCTTGTTTGAATATATTTGTCAAGATATCGCTTCTGGTTTTTTTTTTTTTAAAAAAATGTGACCAAGTCTAGGTCTTGTGTCCATGTCCAAGAAATTGGTCGCCGGCCTTATCCCTCAATAAGGGGCCATTTTTAACGTGCCTGCCTGAGCATCGAAACTGAGACCCCACGTTGAGATTAAACGTGCTGTACATTGAAGGCACGTTTGAGATTCATGATCAAACACTTGGAAGATAATGAATTATCCATAAATAGAAAAACAAATTAAATAAAATTGAAAGTTGTGTAATTAGCACACTTGGTTGGTTGGTGGCGTGGAGCCAATAAATGGCTGGTAGTCCATTTCTTTTTCCACGCAAAGAATTACCATCCATCTTATGCATCAATATTGAATAACTAGTTAACGACAAAATGTTAGCTGATTGATAAACAAGTTCGATTTATAGACTAGGTTATGATTCTATTCTTATGATTAATATTTTTAAAAATTTATTTTTTATGTTAAAGAGTATACTTTAATCATATTTTAAAAATAATAATCTTAAAATATGTAAAAACTAATTTAGAATACCTTTATTATTGAACGAATTAATAATTGTGGCTAAGGTCACTCTAAAAAAATCCCATCTGGGAGACCAAAAATAAAATTGAAAAAAATCAAGCAAATAGGCCTACTCCTACATAGGGCCTTTCATTTACCTTTAAAGTGAGGGACCATATAAAAAGGGCCAGAGATTGGGAGCTGAGGATAAAGTTTCGGCAGTGGCATCAATATTGGAATTTCAAACCAAATATTACAAATTTAAGAATTCGTTTAGTATTATTTTAGATTTTTGTTTTAAAAAAAGTAAAAATAAAAAATGACAAATGAAAACTTATTATTATTTAAAAAAAAACATAAAAAAACCAACCACTGCTTATCAAAATTTTCAAAATCAAATAAAATGGTTTTAAAAAACAGTGACGTTGGTTGTTGGTTTAAAAATTCAAAACAATCAAATTTTCTGCTTCTTTTTCCAAAAATTTGAAACAGAAATCATAAAGGATGTGGAACATCTCTAAAGAAAGTGGTTTTTTTACCTAAATATTTTCATGATATGTGAGACTGCCCTCATGAATGAGAACTTATATTAGGCCCCCATTCACCATATTGTTATTCACGACCGCAAGTCAGAAGTTGTGACAAGTCATATGGACCATGTTTGTAAATGTAGAGCAACCATGAAATTTAAACTTATCCAAAACTTTATCTATATAAAATAGATAATAAGTATTCCCATGAAAAAAAAATAAAAATAAAGAAACACAAGTGGATCCCTGTAGCCAACCATGTAATGCATTTTGATTAAATTACATTAAAACACAATAAATTTTTGGTCAAATTCACACACAATTACAATTTTTAAAAAATTTGCTTTGAATATTA